TTAAAGATTAAAGTTACTGGTCACTATCTAAATTTGTACCGTTATTTAAATCTTAAAATTTCCACTTGTTGCATTAAAATTTGGTTTGTTATGAAATTTATTTTAATTAACGATGTTTTAATACTGATCGTTAAGGTTTATTAATTGTTGTATGCGACTGATTGTATTTTTTTCCAAACACAACGCGTGATTTACGAATAGATACACAACAAACATCTTCAGAAAAGCTAATTTAATATTATATTTTTAAAAACATGCCTCTTAGTCAATAATACCATCTGAATACAATTTTAATTTTTATTTCAATTATTTATCGTATTGTTAATTAAAATATAAAACAACTAATTGCAACAAAATTATATACCAACTACCACAGATGTGACTATTTTTTTCATCCGCCGCGATCCATGTATAACTACGCGAAGTTGAGACAAACCACTTGAGATTTTATCAAACCAACAGCAACAGAATGTGCCAGAAACGTTGACCGCTATTCCTAACAACAGAGATGCCATCTTGACAAATCTCGATTTAAATAAAGCGCATCCTGTCTATTTTTAGCCCGGCTCCTTTCTATTTGCGTCATAGGTTACAATGTATCATGATTAGCTTTACGCTGCAGGGGCGGGGGGGGGGAGGGGGGGGGGGAGATAGAGAAAGAGGGGGTGTCTCCAGTAAGTGGTTCCACGTAAAGATTGCTTCGGATGACTTGAAGACGTTTAAATATTTTATTTGTTCTTTCATTTTCACCGACATTTTATTTTTATCTGAGAGGAGCATCCGTGCTTTTCTTTATCTAAAGTAAACGACAGAAATAGGGAAGAGGAACACAAATGTTGTAGATAATTGTAAGGAACGTATTTGTGTGTATGTTTGTGCGTGCACTTGGTGGCGGTGGGGTGGTATTTGAAGAATTTGAATTCAACTAAACCAACATGACACCATCTTACATCTACACGGAGCAAGATGGGCCTACCTGATATCTAAACCTAACCTAAAGCCTACTTGATATCTAAACCTAACCTAAAGCCAACCTGATATCTAAACCTAACCTAAAGCCAACCTGATATCTAAACCTAACCTAAAGCCTACTTGATATCTAAACCTAACCTAAAGCCTACCTGATATCTAAACCTAACCTAAAGCCTACTTGATATCTAAACCTAAACTAAAGCATACCTGATATCTAAACCTAACCTAAAGCCTACCTGATATCTAAACCTAAACTAAAGCCAACTTTAAAAGTTATTGCCCAAAGCAAGAGTTTAAATTACAGAGCTGTTCTATGTTTGAGTTTTGAAAGTATTACAGACTCAAGAAGGCAGTATAGAATCCTTACATCATTACACACTTTGACAGCATTACAGACTTTTGACAGCATTACAGACTTTTGACAGCATTACAGACTTTTGACAGCATTACAGACTTTTGACAGCATTACATACTTTTGACAGCAGTACATACTTTTGACAGCATTACAGACTTTTGACAGCATTACAGACTTTTGACAGCATTACAGACTTTTGACAGCATTACAGACTTTTGACAGCATTACAGACTTTTGACAGCATTACAGACTTTTGACAGCATTACAGACTTTTGACAGCATTACAGACTCTTGGTACCATTACAGACTCTTGATAGTAATACCGACTCTTGACAGAACTACTGACTCCGGACAGCATTACAAACTCCTAATAGCACTACCGACTCCTATTACCACGACAGACCTCTGCTACTGTTGCAGACTTCAGCTCCATTCACCTACCCCCACCACGGACTGCTTAGCACTGCAGATCTGGTTAACAGGTGGTAGAGATCACTTAACATGTTAGCATGTTCAAACTTGCATCCTTTGTATACAGAAATCATCGTCCCAAAGGTCAAGGCCGACTCCTTGACCTTGCTGGGTTTATAAACGAAAATGCCTTGAAAATTTTTTTTTTTATATTTTCTGTCTGACCTCTTTGTATCCTAGATATTTCACATCAATTACTTTCATAATTAAAATTTTCACTACAAATATTTCACATCAATTATTATCATAAACTCGACTTCTAATACACATTAAAAATCATTTTTAACAAATGATATTTCAACAACAAATATTTTCATATCAATTATTTTCACATGTAACCTTTTTATATTGAACATTTCACACCAAACAATTCCTCCTAAACCAAAGATTTTCACATCAAATACTTCCCATCTTTCACCTTCATACCCCATGACCTTTTAACCGTAGGTCACCGTTTCTATTTTTGTCTGTTGAAGGTAGATAACTCAACTTAATGTATTTAACCACGAAAGACAAAATAAATAATTTCAATAACATTGTAAGTTTTCGCGAAAATAAATAACATTGTAAGTTTTCGCGAAAATAATTTTTTAAGCTTTTATTTTCAGCTCAGCTTACACATTAACGCTAGTGAATGACTACACCACTTTAGATTCATATTATGCTCTCAACATTTCCCCACTTAATCTACGGCTGGACAATTAAATCAACCATCAAATTAGATGCCCTCGCTAATCTTTAGCCCCCCCCCCCCTCATGTACAAACACACTTTTTTCTAACTTTCATTTGTCAAAGTTTAAACTGTTGATGTAATGCATGGCATACAACATCATATGTCTTGATATCTACTATACAACAGCATCATAATCCCTGATCTCCGACATCCATTGGCACCATATGCCTTAATGTGTGCCATATAAAAGCACCATATGGCCTTGATGATTGGCATACAACAGCATTGTATGCCTCGATATACAAGTTTAATAAACAATATGCTCATTTAGATAATTTATGTCAAATTTGTCCTGCTTTGTAAAAGTATCCTGAATATGCCATGTAAGTATCTATTTCGCGAAAGTATGTACTCGTTATGGGTGATACCTCGTATGTGGATTTCTTTGAAAGTATGTACATCGCATATGCATTTGTGTTAAAGTGTGTACTAGGTCCGAATTTGACCAATACATGCCCTGTCTATTTATGAACTCCATGGGTTTTTTAAAAAAGTTTATAGCAAAAGTTTTAAAAGTTTAAAAACTTCGCTTGTTTCGCAGCTAGAGTTTATAGCAATAATTTTCTGTGTTGGCTTGACACGTTATAAATGCTTATCCTATGTTTATAAACAGAACACCTCACTCAGTCACTAAAATAAATTAGGATAATCTAAACACTTTGCAGCCACACCTGGTGTAAGGTTTATGATCCCACATAAATCACACAATTTTAAAACAGGTACCATCCATGTCCCTAAATCTATACCAAATCCCAACTTCCGAAAACCCCCAGAGATTTAATTTCTCAGAACATATTTTATTTGGTGTTATTTTGTCTGAAATACCAGTTTAAACTTTTTTTTTTTCGTCTCCATTACAAAATCTGATATTTTTTTATTGTTAAATCCTAGTTCCATACTGATTGTTCTCGTTATTGTGTATTTGTATAAAATGTTAGCAATTTTAGTTTTAAAATCATTTGTATAAAAGTCCATAAAAAGAACCTTTATAGGCTTAGTACTAGCTTCTTTTTAGCTTTGCATAATAGGCAAAAAAATAGCATAAATCAATAACATACTCAACCACAAAATCTCATGCTGACTAGCGTACAATCATCAACCTACACAAAAAAAGACAAACAAACCTGCGATATTTTCCATTTCTGCAAACTTTCAGCCCCTAGTTTTCAATTCGAGACGTGTTTAATGCGTTACCTTACATTGAACAGTACACAGGTTCAAAGTCTCTCCATGCAAGACATATTTTATAAACATTTCTCAAATTGAGTTTTTTTTTCTTTTAACGTCTATCACTTGTGAGTTAAGTAAACTTTACTAAAGATAATAGTTTTCTATCTCCTACCATCAACATTTCATAGATTTCTATTTTCTAACCAGAACTCTACAATTATTAACTATCCACTTACTTCCACCTTTTTATAGCCCTGTATCTGCTAACCTGAAACCTTTAAATAATTTTCTCTCTCCTTAACTCAACCCTTTAAATTTCTAATATCCTCTAAACTCAACCCTTTAAATTTCTAATATCCTCTAAACTCAACCCTTTAAATTTCTAATATCCTCTAAACCTAACCTTTCGAATTTCTGCTACCCTCAATTTTTAAACTGATCTCTCCACTAACGTTAACCTTTTAAGCTGATCTCTCTAATAATGTTAACCCTTTATATTTATCTCTTAGCAAACATTAACCCTATAATTTGATCTCTCCACTAACGTTAACCCTTAAAAATCTCCACTAATATAATGATCTCTTCAATAACATTAACCCTTTAAACTGACCTCTCCACTAACGTTAACCCTTTCTCTCCCAGGATGGACAGTTAACCGTTTAAACTGACCTCTCCACTAACGTTAACCCTTTCTCTCCCAGGATGGACAGTTAACCCTTTAAACTGACCTCTCCACTATCGTTAACCCTTTCTCTCCCAGGATGGACAGTTAACCCTTTAAACTGACCTCTCCACTAACGTTAACCCTTTCTCTCCCAGGATGGACAGTTAACCCTTTAAACTGACCTCTCCACTATCGTTAACCCCTTTCTCTCCCAGGATGGACAGTTAACCCTTTAAACTGACCTCTCCACTAACGTTAACCCTTTCTCTCCCAGGATGGACAGTTAACCCTTTAAACTGACCTCTCCACTAACGTTAACCCTTTCTCTCCCAGGATGGACAGTTAACCCTTTAAACTGACCTCACCGCTAACGTTAACCCTTTCTCTCCCAGGATGGACAGTTAACCCTTTAAACTGACCTCACCGCTAACGTTAACCCTTTCTCTCCCAGGATGGACAGTTAACCCTTTCAACTGACGTCTCCACTAACATTAACCCTTTAAACTGACCTCACCGCTAACGTTAACCCTTTAAACTGATCTCTCCATTAACGTTAACCTTTTCAACTGACCTCACCACTAACGTTAACCCTTTAAACTGATCTCTCGACTAACGTTAACCCTCTCTCTCCCAGGATGGACAGTATTATCGGGTCGGTGGGGAGAGTGGCAAACGTCAAAGTTCGCAATGACGACGACCTAAATGACCGCGTGAACCATCTGTACACCACCGGCATCCTCATCATCTTCACCGTGGTGGTCAGTGCCAGGCAGTATGTCGGTGACCCCATCAGGTAAACCAGCACGTCACGTTGTCACGTCTATTGTCAAATTTTCGTCACGTCTTTATCACATCATGTGTCATGTCTATTGTCACGTCTATTGTCACTTCTATAGTCACTTCTACTGTCACGTTTTTGTCACGTCTTTGTCACGTCATTTGTTATGTCTTTTGTTAAATTTTTGTCACGGCTATTGTCAGGTTTATTGTCACGTCTATTGTCACGTTTTTGTCACGTCTATTGTCACGTCTATTGTCACTTCTATTGTCACTTCTATTGTATCACGTTTTGTCACGTCTTTATCACGTCATGTCCTTTGGCATATTATTTGTAACGTCTTTTGTCACATTTTTGTCACGTCTATTGTCACCTTTTTGTTAAGTCTATTGTCATGTCTATTGTCACGTATATTGTCACGTCTATTGTTAGGTCTATTGTCACCTTTTTTGTCACTTTTTTATCACGTCATGTGTCTATTGTCACGTCGTTTATTATGTCTTTCGGCAAATCATTTGTTACGTCTTTTGTCACATTTTTGTCACGTCTATTGACACGTTTTTTGTCACATCTGTTGTCACGTTATATATATATATATATATATATATATATATATATATATATATATATATATATATATATATATATATATATATATATATATATATATATATATATATATATATATATATATACGTAAATACCCATCATATTAAGCCTGAACTCAAACATAACTTTGACATAACGAAACTTTAAACGTTACCGGATGCAGAGCTATAGAAGTACATACCATAACAAATGTAATTAACATAGCACAAAATATATAATTAGCATAGCACAACAAATATAATTAACATAGCACAAAATATATAATTAGCATAGCACAACAAATATAATTAACATAGCGCACAGCAAATATAATTAACATAGCACAACAAATATAATTAACATAGCACAACAAATATAATTAACATAGCACAACAAATATAATTAACATAGCACAACAAATACATTTCACAAAGCACAACAAATATAATTAACATAGCACAACAAATTTAATTAACACCGCTGTTCTTGAAATGTATCGACAAGTTTAAGTAGCGTCTCATTCTCAACATAAACAAAGATCGTTGCCATAGAAACCCTTGTATAAACACCGCTACACGCCGTGTAAACATCGAGTTCGTCGCCATGGTAACCAACACGTGTCTGTGTGTTGACATTTCTAAGCCGGTCGCCTCAACACAACTCTTCTATTTACTTAATTATTTATGAACGTGAAAAGGCAAGAAGGTTGGGGGGGGGGGACAATACGCCTAAGTAAATTCTTTACAACGGTAAAGAAAAATATATTTTAATGTTATCCATACACACAAGACAGCAGGCAAGAGCTCAGATACACAAAACCGAAACGTTCTGGCTCCAGGTTCGAGAACCGCCTAGACAAAATATCCGTCAAATAAAGATAAGATTTTTTTTTCTTAACTCAATCATCTTTTTTAAAAAAAAAAAAAAAATTAAACGGGTACACACATTTTTTCGTCCGGCTCTAGGCTTAAGTGTGAGCTTGAAGCTTGTCAAAACACCTGTAGATGCACGACCAGGCACTCACGTGCACATACTGCTCACGCGCATTTTTTTTTTTGTGTTCAAACTTTTCAGACATGAATCTGACAAACATTTAAAATAAAACAGAAAAGTATGCACACAAAAACAAACACAAACATTACCACTAATCCAAATGAAAATACCAGAAGTTTTAAAAAAAATGTGTTTCCTTCAGACTGTTTGCGGAAAAGGCGTTGACCAAGTTTGCGCGGAACTAAATCTTATAGAGTGATATAGAGAGTCTACCCTAAACAATCTCTGCCGTGCGAATGAATGAATAGTATTTCATATGATGTATCACAAGCTATGGGGTCGTCCATAAATGACGTCACCTCGTAGAAAGATAGGGGGGGGGGGGGGGTTGTAATTTAGTAAAGATAAGTGATGAGAAGAGGGATAGCGGGTGGGGGGGGGGGGGTCAGATAATAGGTCGTGATTTATGGATGACCCTATTTACACGTGCACAATAACTGGATTTTAAACATTCAAATATAATAACATACAACACATTATTCTGGCTGCTCATGAACGCACATATTGCTAAAGACCAGCTAAATAAATTAAAGGAGTCTATGACATTGCCTCAACCACCCCCCCCGGAATCCGCCAATCAATTATCCTCCCAGATCAACCTTTCTCTCCCCCCCCCCCTAAATAAAATTACACAATTATTCACCTTATCTAAACAGATACGTACGTTGTCGAATTTTACTGACATAAATTTAGCGTCCAGTTAAAAGGGAATGACTTACGCAATTCTTACTCACTCGTTACAAATACTAGCACGCCCCGTGTTGACAAAAAAAAATATATTTTAGACGCAGAATAAACTATTTTATTCCCCACCCACCAAATGCTTCTGTTTACTTTTTCATTACCCATCCCCCCACCCACCAAATGCTGATGTCAACTATTGTACCCCCCCCCCCCCACCCCCACCAAATGCTGCTGTTTACTTTTTCATTACCGATTCCCCCCCCCCCCCCTCAGCAGCTGCTGATGTTAAATACTTTATTCCCCTACACCCCCCTCCCACCAAATGTTGACGTCAACTATTGTATACCCCCCACCCCCACCTATCCACACACACACATACACACTCCCAAAAATGCTGACGGTAACTATTTTATCTCCCCCTCCCCCACACACAAACACACACCAAATGCTGACGTTAACTATTTTATCTCCCCCCCCCCCCCACACACACACATACAAAAAGCCGATGTTAACTCTTGTATTCCCCACCCCCAGGTGCTGGTGCCCCGCCCAGTTCACTGGTGCCCACGTGGACTACACCAACAACATCTGCTGGATCTCCAACACCTACTACATCCCTATGGAGTACGCCGTGCCTGAAAGCCACGCCAAGCGCGTGGAGAACGAACTGACCTACTACCAATGGGTGCCGGTCATGCTCCTCATCCAGGCCCTCATGTTCTACCTCCCCTGCATCGTCTGGAGGCTCCTCAACGGCCACTCTGGCATCAACGTCGACCGCATCGTTTCGCTGGCTAGCGACGCGCAGTACGAAGCGCCGGAAGTACGCATGCGCACTATAAAATACGTCGTCCGGCATATAGACCGGTGTTTGGATAACCAGCGAGAGAGTCGGCACCGGTGCTGTGTGACTCTCCGCCACATCCTCTCCGCTAAACTCTCCTTGCTCTGCGGACGCAGGTACGGGAACTACCTCATCGCCACCTACCTGGTTATGAAGGTGCTGTATATATCAAACGCCATCGGTCAGCTGTTCATGCTTAACGCTTTCTTAGCCACGGAATACAACCTGTACGGTTTCCAGGTGCTGGATGATTTGATAAAAGGCTCCGAGTGGACCGCGTCCAAGAGGTTCCCCCGTGTCACCATGTGCGACTTCAGCATACGCCAGATGACCAACAGCCACCACTACAGTGTCCAGTGCGTCCTGCCCATCAACCTATTCAACGAGAAAATCTACATCTTTCTATGGTTCTGGTTGGTGTTCGTCTCAGTACTCACCAGCTACAGTCTGATGTCGTGGCTATGGCAGATGGTTTTTCCGTCCTCAAGGATTCATTACGTCAGGAAGTTCCTCAAAATCATGGACCGGATCGGCTCCGGACCGGACAAGAAATTGGCAACACGTTTCACCATGGAGTACCTACGTCACGACGGCGTGTTCACGCTAAGACTTGTGGGTAAAAACTCGAGTGATATCGTCGTGGCCGAGATCGTTTCTGGTTTGTGGGACGTGTACCGCAGCAAAAAGTCTATCCAGATCCGCAACACATCAACGCTGCCTTCAAACGGCCACGAGAGTGACGGGGAGGACGTATAGTCGTCATCAGGCGCGTGCGTCCTCCCAGTGCTCGTCTCCAATCTAGGTTGTCTTAAATTAATTTATTCATTACATCAATCTGTCAAACATTACCAACACGTCAAGAGAAATGACGACACATTGATACCACTATCATTCTAACACGCTGACCCGAAAAGGTCGTTATTCAGCATTAGATTTGACAAAAAAAAAATGTTCAGGTACAATGTATACAGGTAAGGCTAGGTTAGGAATGCCTTACTATCCGCTTCCTGTGTCCTACTTCCTATAACATGCACTAGGTAGCACGCTTTTTTTACGACAACACTATGTCGTAAAGTCGTCACAGTTACTTGTGGTATTTTGATTAGCGTGACCCAACCATACGCTTGAAAATCAAGACAGAAAGTAATTTTTATACAATTTTTGTGGAAAGAGATTTTAACATGAGTTTAATTGTAATTTTGATAGAGGTTCTGTATTTAATAGCATCTTTTGCAAACGTATTGAATAGGCCTACATGATGTGTTTATGACAACAGTTCTCGAGTTAAATCGATTGAGGAAATATGTCAAGACAAAAACGTGTAAACGATGTTCCTCTCTAGGATGTGTTGGTCTTTAGAGCAGGGGAGGTAGAGTATGTCTGCTTCTGTGGGAATTCTATGCTAGTGGGTGGTTAGGCGCTGTTGTTGTAATTCAGGTGCACATCAGGCTAAATCTGGTGCACATCAGGCTAAATCTGGCTGGGTTCATTAACATCCCAATAAACAAGTCCTAATTTTGGACTGGAATGAATTCAAACCTACGGCTTCTGGGTTACGGCCACTCATGTTACCTCACGCCACCAAACGCCTCCACACACCAACACATGCTACCACACACCACCCCAACAACCTCAAATCAGTATCTAATCTTAATGCCAGTCAACATTTTCTGGAAGAATTTCAAGCCAAACTTTCTCCAGTCTCACGCCGACGTCAAGAACCTGTCCTTTTGTCTTTTGTTGTTCGCTGAATCCACGTCTTTTTTACTTACTTGTACCTAGCTTTATAGAGCCTACATTGTTTACCTACAATAGCAAATAAGAGATGGACAATATATTGTGCACTGAAAAAGTTCGCTTTGTTAAATACCTAGACTTATAGATCTAGTGCAAGTAAGTCTAGAATATTATTTATGGATAGAAAGAAATCTAATTTTGAAGTGGATACTTTTGTCATGTGAGGAAAATTAACTTCATTGCCTACCCCTCTCTTAAATCCGTTCATTTCGCACAATAAATTTTAACATATTTTAGTATTTTTATCTAGCTGTCATTATACTCTTTCAGACGTCCTACTTTAATTTAAACACAGAGAGAGTTTTACTTGAATACGAAAATAAACTGGTTGAAATTATCAGCGCTTCCGTTAACGAAAGATAAAATAGTTTCAGCGCCATGTTAACATAGCACGCATGCCACTGTCAGATTATGTCAGACAACTGTCACTTGTCAGTGTGACGTAACACGGCAGTAAGGGCAATAGAACCAGAGACCTGGTTCGTGGTTTTTTATTCGAGGCTCCAGAAAAAAAACTTTTTTAGCCTCAGCGCGTAGGTCTAAACTTCCGATTGACGCAAACAAGTCGGATAACTCTGGTGGGAGCGATCGTTTAAACAGATTTCTAATGCCCGAAACACACAAAGCAATCACAAACAGTTGATAGATTTCCACACAAGTTGTGAGAGGTATCAACAACCAGACATTAAGTCAACAAAGCACAGACCAACTCGGACGAATTCTGTATCGAGAAAAAAAAAATTTAATCAGCTTTACTAGTGTCCTTGATTCCAATTTTTAGAAAACCTAATTTCGCGGCTAAATTTTGCTAATTTTTTTTATTACTAATGCCCGGCCCTATTCTTTTTTAAATCGCCCACACCTTTTGGCTAAAGGGTTTTCAATGCTATTTTTTTTTATTTAAAAACTCAGACATTTTTTTGTATCAGAAACACGCCTTAATTTCGTAATATGGCAGTATGCGTCCTATGAAAAAGCCTATATTGGTTAAAAAAAAATAAGTAAATTTTTTTTTCGCTTTTTATTTAAACGGTAATCCATCTCATTTTCCCATTATAATCTGTGCTTAGAATTAGAATATGTGACTTATGTCTACAACATAAAAAGACTTCTTAAATTTTCGGATATTTCCGTTTCTATTTCGGACTATCACGCATCTTTCGGTGACGTATTCCACAATCCACTTTTTCGAAAGGAGTGCTAGACGGAGAAATATTTCGTGCTGTTTACTCATTCGCTCCTTACAGACGCGATTCTAGGCTTCTCCGTCCCGTAGCCGTGTCGGAGCTAGAACATTTTGAGAACTAGCCTGCCAGTCTGTAGTAGAAGAACACGGCCGTATTGTGGCACTGACCTTTACCTCTGGAAGACGCGCCACAGCTGGCGTGCATGTGCTTGTGTGTCTTGGGTTACCTGTCTAAAGTTACCTGTCTTGGGTTACCTGTCTAAAGTTACCTGTCTTGGGTTACCTGTCTAAATTTACCTGTATGTGGGCACACGACAACAAAGACTTTTATCTGATGTTAAAGGTTTAAAAACAAACCTTTACGTTGGGTTGTTTAGTTTACTGCATGCGGCCTACGTTCTTATAAAATTGTTGTTTTTTAATTCAATTTTGGTTCGGTTAATTTAAATTTGGCCTAACGCACAATGAAAATCTGTCAATTAAGCCGTACGCTAAATAAGAGGAGCAAAAAAGTTAAAATATTTTTTTTTTCCGTTAACGCAGGATATAGGTTTAACACGTGCATAAAACTGTTTTTTGCTTTCATTTTATGTTCTGTAAGTTAAGATTATTTAGTTTAAATTAATTTATGTTTCAATTTATTTTCAAAACTATCAAAGCGACAGACCCCCTCCAACCATGTCGGGAATTCATTCTTCGGTGAGTCGCTTCCATCCCTAAATTGGAACTTTTAATTTTAAAAACAAAAATCTCATTCTAAAATATGTAGATCTAAGTCCGGCCAAAATGAAATATATCGATCAATCTTTTTTAATCTACAAAAACAATATTTTAAAAGCGAAAAAACTACTAAAATTTCGTTTAAAAAAAAGCCCCTCTTCACGTATGTGAGGTCAGATATGAACGACACCCACCTCCGATGTAGTTTTCCTACTTTTAAATAAAAAATAAACATTTCGATGTTTATAAAAGTGATATAGCTATTTCCCAAGTAAATACGACAAGAGCACACAATAGGTTTTGCTATGAGGATACGAAATCGGACGAGGATTCACCAGTTTCTAATTCTAACCCAGCTATTCAAAGTCTGGATAATCTTGTGTTTGCTATATATAAAGTAATCTTCTAATCTATAATCTCTTGTTTGCTATATAACCACTAATCCTCTAAAGTATCTCTAATCGCTTGTTTGCTCTATAACGTAATCTTCTAAAGAAACATCGCGCCTAAATCTATACTGCTGTTGAAAGCTTCTCTCATTAGATGTTTCTTGGATGAAAAGGCGAACGGCGGTGAGGTGAGAAACACAACAGAATTATTGTTTATCCCCAGTCAAGCGAACGTCTGGCTAATGTTGGACCTGACAAAAATATGTTTTCTTACAAAAGGAGGGGAGGAAGAGGTGGGAGGGGGTTTCATAACGCGGGGAGAAACCTTCCATTTTTCAACATGAAGTGTGGGGTGTTGAAGGGGGGAGGGTATCGTTTTGAAGGAGGTAGTCTAGTTTGTATAGGGGTTTAATTAATTATCAAGCACAGGAGGGGAAAACTTAAACTTTCGTTTTCCGCGTGCTTCTTACAAAAAAAAATTGTTTCGTTTAATTGTAATGAGTTTATTTTTTCGTTTCTTTTACCCAGTTAACTGCAGTATATTCCTCTTTCAAACGTGTTATTTCTTTTGAGTTAAAGAATTTTTAAAAATCAGGTTTTGTTTTGTAGGCCTAATGTTAGTTATAATATTTTTTTAAATTTAAAAAGCCTATCAATACACACAAACTGATGACGTCAAATCGTGTGAATAAAGGACCTCTGGGTTGGTATTTATAATTGATCGTATGGTGATGTGTTGTGCGTGTTCTACCTACCATCCCAGTGTGCGATGGTTAGCTTCGACCTTAGACTTAGCAACAGTAAGGCCATCACAGCTGATTAGCAAACAGCACGTGTCAGATGAAGAACTCACTTCTGTGACTGACGTCATGGCACGCGAGGTTCACGCAGGGCAGATGGGAGTCTGGTGTTTTTTAAACTTCGGCTGCAGTCAAACAATGTGCGTGTGTTCCCTGCTGGTCTGTGCATGTACACCTGTGTGTCTACGCAACACACTTGTGTCCACACTACATATTCATGACTAAACTTTACACATGTCTAAACTACACATCTGAATCTAAACTACACATATGAATCTAAACTACACATCTGAATCTAAACTACACATCTTAATCTAAGTGACATCTGAATCTAAACTACACATCTGAATCTATACAACACACCTGAATCTAAACTACACATCTAAATCTAAACTACACACCTGAATCTAAACTATACATCTGAATCTAAACTACACATCTGAATCTAAACTACACATCTGAATCTAAACTAAAACTACACATCTGAATCTAAACTACACATCTGAATCTATACAACACACCTGAATCTAAACTACACATCTAAATCTAAACTACACACCTGAATCTATACAACACACCTGAATCTAAACTACACATCTGAATCTAAACTACACATCTGAATCTAAACTACACATCTGAATCTAAGTTACACAACTGTGTTTACACTACATACATTTGTGGGTTATACAACACACCGGGGACTGTACTTTACAATTCCTTTATTACACATCAAAATCCTAATTACACACAACACTTGCGTGTTTATAAGACACAGTTGTGCTTAAGCTACACCTTAGGGCCTTAGTGACCTAGTCATATTTCCACATCACTATTTGGTAAATAAAGACTTTACGTTGCGCATGTGAAATAACGTAAGAGGTAATATCAGAACATGGAAGTTTGTTTTTTTTTATCACAAGTATTACGCAACACAACATTCGGCTAGAGTTAGATTTTAAAACGAAATCATTTTAGTCAACGAACACACCTTTCAGTGTGTGGAGGCGTGGGGTACGCAGTGTTTCTTCCAGACTTTTTTCTCGGGGGGGGGGGGCACTTGAAATTTTCGGGGGGGGGGGGGTGGGGCGGTAAACTTTCTTCGGGGGGGGGGGGGGGGCGGACGGCGGACACTGTTAAAACTATATATTTTCTATATAAATTATATAAATTTCGTTCGGGGGGGGGGGGGGGGGGCGGTAGAAATTGTTCGGGGGGGGGGGGGGAGCTGAAGAGATGCCTGGAAGAAACTCTGGGGGTACGGGACAAAAAAAAGTGTGTGGATTACCGTTAAGCCTGACCAGCTTCAACTAAAGCTCAGTGTTGTTCTATAGACTAGTAGATACCGAAAACTAAAAAGATTTTTAAAAAGAAGAACGGCCTTGATAAAATTGAATTTTTTTGTTGTTAGAAATTAGTGTCAATTTGGTGGGTAGTAGTGGCCATTTTGATGTTCGTGTAAAAGAATACTTTGTAGGAGGGGGAAGGAGGAGTTTTTAATAAAACGAATAACCTTTGAGGATCGTCCATTATAGACGTCACGTACCTGGAGAGGGACGGGGACTGTGACGATGTTATAGATTTTCGTTTATTTTAGACATATGCCGTTGTGTCTATTTTGGAGAAGGATTGAGCTTTGTGGCGTCAATTTTAAATGTTGTTCGACCTTTCAGGAAAAATTGGGGGTGGGGGGGGGGCATATACTGCTTTTAGTTGTCACATGTATACAAAATATCACGTGGTAGGCCTATAGCAATATCCCTAAACAAGAGCTTATGGCATTTTTTTTTTCTACCAACCATGCTACAAAACTGGCCAACAGTAGTTAAAGCTAATCCACGGTTTTAAAGGCCAAATACTAAAATCTGCCCAACATTTATTTTTACACTCGCTTTGACTTGCCAGTTAAAAAGTAAAAAATTATTAGCTCGATTCGAGCGAAAAATGTCTT